TGCTCACCAAGCCTGCATTTATTTGCTCCAAAGTACAGCAAAAACAGTAATATTGTGAAATATTTTTACTATTTAAAATAACTGCTTTCGATTTGAATATATTTTAAAATGTAATTTATTCCTGTGATCATACCTACATTTTCAGCATAATTACTCCAGTCTTCAGTGTTACATGATCCAGAAATCATTCTAATATGCGGATTTGCTGCTCAAGAAACATTTTTGATTAAATGCAGGCTTGGTGAGCAGAAGAAACTTTTGAACTTTTGACTGGTAGTGTATATCATATATATATATATATATATATATATATATATATATATATATATATATATATATATAATATAAATATATAAATATATAAATATACTGTATAGTTGATTATAAAATAAAATTACTATATATATATATATATATACTGTATATATTGTATATAGAAGTGGTGGTGGGCCACCTGCCAGGGCCGATTTTTTGTCCCAGTCCAGCCCTGATCGCAGCAATTAGAAAACAACAGTCCATGAATCCAATCAAATGCAGATGAACAAAATTAGGTCCCGCCCTGCTTTTATACAGTCTATGGTCCCGCCTTACATTTTTTTCTCATTTGAGAAGTTGTTTCACTTGAATATGTCACAATAGGGTAGAAAATTATTAAATCAGATCATTAGATTTGTTGTGACAAATAAGCACAAAACCATTAGTGCTACAGACATGAATGTTCTTCTTAAAATGGTCTACTTAAAAAAAGTAATAATATTATTATTAATAATAATAATAATAATGTGAACATTAAGATAAACATTAGCCACATTTTGGGACCACAACATCATAGATTTATTTCTTGGTATGACTATTTTACAAACAATATTGACAAAGCAATACAGATGGCAAACAAAAAAACATGTCAGGTTAAATATTAATTAATTAATTAATATGCATGTATGTATGTATGCGTGTATATATATATATATGAAATAAAACTAATATTAAATAAATATTAAATAAAACGTAACATTCAACGATACATTAAAGAACCCATCTATAGACCTTACGTAGCTCTGTACCTTCTTTCTTCTGGTTAGTATTTCCACAGCATAAAGGTAAGATCTTACAGATTTATGAATGAATCACTTGTTTTAAAATCTTCCCGCTCTACTGACATTTGTTATGACATCCGCTTCGAACATTATGCACATGATAAGTCTACAATAAATAAATCCACTTCACCAGCCACAACAGCGATGCTATAAAGCTACCACAAAAGCGGAAGTTCAACGACAAAATTCTAAAGATGGCTGTGCATTGTTTCTCTGGTCTATAGGTCAAGACTTAAAGGGAACCCTGGGTATTAAGACTTGTATGGCGTAATATAACGTAAATGATGTCTCTTACTGAAATATGTTGTAGAAAACCCATGAAAGATTTAAAACTTCCTAAAGTCTTTGTTCTCTCCACTTTAGCCCTGATGCCTTTGAGGCTTTTAGTAGACCACAGCTACAAAAAAAGCTTACAGGTGGCGATGGATATAAGCGTAGGCTTAACCCAAATGTTGTACCATCGATTTTTCCAGACAAGGAGTCTAAACGCCCCCGGATATTGAGTAAAATCTGCACTGAGAAACTCCTTCAGTGTCTGCGGCGTCATGACAAGTGTTGGCATGTTTACATCCTGCCAGGATGTCATCTAGCGTTTCTTGTCTCTGCCGTTTGTAAGCTCTTTCAGTAGCTGTGGTCTACTAAAAGCCTCAAAGGCATCAGGGCTTAAGTGGAGAGAACAAAGAAGTGGGTCTTCAGAAAGTTTTATTCGTCCACAGGCATCTTCCCATTCTTGTTATCGCTAAGAAAGCAGTGAAGACTTACATCGCTTCTGTTGTTGGCCTTCGACTGAAAATTACAACCAAAAGCCGCACAATGTGGCATCGTATCAGTATTTTATTTTCCGAGTTGTGTTGTGGTAAAAATAGCAACAGGTAACACCAGTAGCTCACCGAGTGCAACCATTTGACGTCATCGAAATAATGGCCCCCCCCCCCCCCACAGTCCAAAATATGTATAAAACTTTGTGGAGTTTTTAAATAATGTAAATCTTTCATAGGTGTTTTCCACTACAAATTCAGTAAGAAACATCATTTACGTTATATTAAGCCATAGAAGTCTTAATAACCCTAACCCTAGCAACAGCATATAAACCATTCAGAACATGTTAGCAACCACCTAACAACATTTTACTACCAAGAGGACCATAGCATAATGACAGCAAGTTTTGCACAGGCATAACTCAAACTCGCATTTTCTTCCAAAACTGTAACAATCCAGTTCAACTGCAGTCACTTTGCATTGTGGGTATACACAGATCCACACAGTTGTATGGCTTTTATGGCTCAGTATTTAGCACTGAATAATAATGAAGGCTTTAAGTCCCAGACAGAAGCTTTTTTCAGTTTTGTATAGGATGGTTAATTAGTGGGCTTCTACGGTACTGTATCAGGACCCCCTCGCATGGCCCTGGGGTACTACGCAACAGATGGGGGAATTCAGTCTGGGTGCGTATAATGAGCACAATGACTTACTGCAAGTGAGGCCTCCACTGGTAGCACCGTGCACCCTTGTGACCCATAAGTCAATTAAAACAAGTTTGTTTGGCTGAAAACACAAGCAGTATTTAGCGAGGCAAACTGGAATTGGTAGAAAATTGAAATACAGTAATTGCATACATGGTGCAGATTTAATTCGGTTTATTCCCTCATGGCCCGTGAACACAGCAACTGTGGATACTATTAATTAATTCCCCACCCACGCTGGGCGGCCCCTCTCCCTGCCTTTATTATCCCAGCAGGCACCGTGGGCTCTGCAGCTAGCCTTTTCCATCCATCCTGAGCTGCGTTCCCGCAGGCTCCTCTACACTACACAGCTTTATCTATTATTCATGGGTTCGGTGCATCCCTGCTCGCTCAATGCCCTCTGCTGCTGGACTGATATACTTGCGCATGCTTAATGTGCAAGATGATCACATTCTCTAATATATGCCTCGGGTAGACGATGACTTAGGTTAGATGCCTACACTCAGGGTTGTTACTATGGTGACTTTGTATGTACTGTAGGTGCCCAGAAGGAGGTGCAGCGCTAATTTGCCCCTTTGCTACACTGTGGTTATTGCTCTGGAAGGAAATCAGAATGTGTGATGCTGAGGATGTTTTTTGGTTTTCTCAAATGTGTAAACTTTGTAGAGCATCATGGTCAGATGGCAGCCTCCACCAGCAGATGCTCAGAACGGTGAGATCATCGGCTACAAGATCCGCTACAGGAAGGGTACGAGGAAGAGCGAGGCGGCGGAGATTACTTCAGGATCGCAACTCTATCAGCTCATAGATGGTAAGCTGAACAACACTTCAAACTCAGAAGGACTGACAAATATGTGGTTGTTTTCAAGCTATAGACCCTTTTTCTGTTAGTAAACACTGTGACATTTTTCTGAGGGCGGAGCTTAGGTGGATGCAGAAAGATTCCCCTGACCGCTTCACTAACACTAGCTATGAAGTTTGTTAGCTTGTTTTGTTTTTTAACAATGACTGGAGAAAATCCGATTTTACCTGCATGTAAAGTCACTCGCTGGCCGGGATCGCAACTGTTATTTGGAAAGGTTAACTTTAACGGACGAAACCAGATTGGCCAACCCTACACGCTAGCTCAAAGCATGGGTGATCTGACAGGATTACCTCCGGTTGAGTGATTCACATCTATAGAGAAACCTAACGTGTAACATTATAATAAAGGGAAACTCACCTGTGTCTGTCTAGTCATGAAGATGCATATATAGGCTATTTCAGTTTCAGCAGGCAACTATTTTTACAGCTACATTATTAGAGTGAACTGGGCCAAAATACAAAAAAAGTTAAACATTCAATGTGATGGGTATATTATTTGAAGATGTATGTGTCATGTAATGATACAAATAGTTATTTTACAGTATATACCTCCTGTAAATGATGTAAGTTTACAGTGACATTACAAAAATTAGAAACTGATTTTGAACTTTCTGTATTTGATTTTTTTTCTTACCAAGTTCTTAAAAATTCCAGCCACAATCAATCACAACAATGTATATACAATTACAGATCATTAAGCATATAAATCGTCAATTTGTTGTTTTACACACATGCACACAGACATTATTCCATAGTCGTGAAATGCATTAAAAATCTTTAGATGCGTAACAAACCATAATACATAACAACAAAAGACAATTCTTTATTTAACCTTTTCTGACAAGAAGTGTGCGCTGCAAACGTGAGCATTTTTGACTATCGTTTCTGTCCAGTCCGCTCGTTTTATCGCATTTAACCACAGCTGTCATCGTTTTTTTTGTCTGGCGGTGGCAGCAGGTATGCTTTAAAATTGGAACCTCTACTACGTCGATTCTGGCACCCAACATCACAATAAGACGATATTTTGAATTGGCCGCCTCCAGTTTCCCCTTTGTTTTGCCTCCAGCTAGGGCGGTGACGTCGGCCCTAAAAGGGTCTATTGGCTTCAACCAGTAACTGTCATTTGACTGATGGACAGCTCAGTTCCAAAATCTACTGACAGACTTGACAATGCAAAATCTGTCATTTCTGCATTTATTTCAAAATGACAAAAAATTTAATAAATAAAAATATTTATAATATAAATATCTTTTTGTTTTTTTTATTGTTTAAATTGTATATTAAAAAAGTGGTAAATATTTTGTAAGTATTAATTTAGTTTCTAGATATTTAATTTAATTTATAGATAGATTAATTTGACTAATTTAAAAATGTATTAATAATTCATTAAAGTATATATATTTTTTAATATTTACATATTATATAAATATTATATATATGTATGTATATATTATAAGATATTATTATAGGCCTGTCAATTTAGTTACTTTAAGTTAATTTAGCACCATTAATTACGAAAAATAATGAACAAAATTGACACATTTATTCATCTGCCCTGATCCCGTTTTGAATAATTAATTTCTGTGCCATGTAATTAATTAGATTAATTTTTTTAATCTATTAACAGCCCCAGTGTATCTGTCCTTGGCCATCCTGCTCAAGATACTGGCATAAGTGTCAGCCGTTGCAAAAAAGGTTGAGAATTTTTTTTTAAAAGGCACAAGTAAATTTTGTCCATATCCTTATACACCAGTGCTTCTGAGCCACCATGTCAACCCCAGAAACGGCTCTGGAAAGTATGTATTTCTCAGACATTACAAAATAGATGAGCCTGCAAAAAAATAAAGCCTCATGTGACAAACTCTATCCATTAATGAAACAAAAGTGAGAATTAAATTCAAAATAGACTTCAACAGCTTAATGGGAGTCATGCTGTGGTTGGCATCAAAGAGCATAATGGTTGTTTTCTGTTCCATTTGAGTTGAAATGAGATGTTTGATAATTCAAAGGCTTGAATTGGAGTGTCTCCCACAAGGCTGTAGGAACAGCTCTGACTTTTGCATTCGACACTCTAAGCAGACGCTTATTAACATTTTAAAGCAATTACAACCTCTGGCTTATTTAACGACAGCAGGCATTCCTCCACTCTGTGAAAACCAGAACATGCCCATGGCATCAGACGTGTGAAATTATGAAAATGATTTTTTTTGCGTTTCCCCTCCGGAATCAGTCAGTTCTCATTTTGTTGTTTGTGTCAGTCCAGTGTAATATAAATTTGTAGAAGCAGACCTTTATAAATCAGCACTCGAGGCAATGCTGTAGCGTGTAGGTCAGTATGTCGTACAGCAGAGCCAATGATGATTATGCGGGGGTGGTTATCGATCTTGTCTCAGTAAATGGATTGAGAAACGTGGAGCGTTGTGAAGCGTCTTTCTGTTTGTTTCCAGAGAAATGAGCTGACTGGTTGGTTGAGAAGCGGTGCTTCACTTTTACTATTGCTCATGCGTAGGGTTAGTGATTTAAACTGGCGGCGCTCGAGGAACCGCCCTGAACATCCTGGGAAGTGCAAACAGACATAAAAATCGAGTTCATTTGTGCACTTTTAGCTGAAAAGTGATATTTGTTTCACAAAGCTTGTGAATATGTATTTGTAGAACCAAATTCAAGTGATTCAAAAGCCTGTATTGTAGTTCTTCTTGTATTTTTCAGGTCTGCAGCGAGGCACTGAATATATGTTGCGAGTGTCTGCCATTACGGTCAACGGCACGGGTCCGGCCACAGACTGGACCACTGCTGAGACATTTGAGAGCGATCTGGATGGTAAAAACAGGCAGATTTCTTGTGGACACTGGTGCTTGATTAGGATAACAAAGTGTAATTTTTCTTGTTCGTTGGTTTCAGAGACAACTGTGCCAGACGTCCCGAGCTCCTTGCACGTGCGGCCACTTGTGAACAGCATTGTAGTGAGCTGGACGCCCCCAGAGAACCAGGACATTGTGGTGAGGGGTTATACTATCGGCTATGGGATCGGCAGCCCTCATGCCCAGACCATTAAAGTGGACTACAAACAGAGATACTACACCATTGAGAACTTGAGTAAGATCTTCCATTATAATAATTCTGCTTTGAAAATATTACAAAATCTGCTTTGAGGGGCAAGAAAATACATTTTGGGTGAAAGTAATTTTTAAAATGCTTTTTAGTAAATAAATATTTAAGTTGAATGTTTGATCATTTAAATTGAACATTTGAGTTTGAGCATATAAATTAAATTTAAAATGTATTAAAAAGTTAAAACAATTAATTAAATATAAGTAAAATTCATCAAAATATATTTATGTAAATCTACTGTATTTCAAAATATATTTCAGAAAATGTTTAATTATTTTTATTTAATTTATTTATTTTTTGCCATGTAGGACTATAAAAACTTCAAAATAAAATAATTACATATCAAATTATTGTCATATGCATAAAATATGGTACTTGATAGTTGGTACTTAATTCAAAGAATACTATGGTACTACCATAATACAGTTAAAAAAGGTTTATGCTTATTGTGATGATACATACCAAGTTTTACCATATTACGATATCCTATAATACCATGGAACTATATTATCCTTCGGAAGCTCAGTGTAAACTGAATTGGTCATTTTAATTTACGTTTCTAATCATTCACACATTCATGACATGAAGTAACAGTGAAGAAATAGCTCTGTTGCCTCTAGAAGTGAATTAAAGTGAACAGAACTGGGTAAATGGATTGTAGCTACTCAAGAGTGGGAGATTTAGCCCTCTCTCCACCCCATTGTAATTACATTTGAAGGAACGAGAAAAATAATCATCAGAAGAAACAGCATAATTTAAGTTTTCGTAATTCATCTAATTACACGAGAGCTAGAATCAATAATGGTGTTTAAATATGCACCCCTGCTAGGATGATGAATATGGTTGAAGCTCTCAGAGGAGCTGCGGGCTTGATTAGCTAAATGATTGGCTTTCTCCCTGCCAGATCCCAGCTCGCACTACGTTATCACACTGAAGGCCTTCAACAACGTGGGGGAGGGAATCCCTGTGTACGAGAGCGCTATCACACGACCCCAATCAGGTAGGTCACGGCCGGCACCACTCAGCCTTATAACACACCACACCTACAGCTTCAACATACTCGTCCTTGTTTGGCATTGCTGTATTTCTAAAATGCAGAATATTGCCACATTTACTATAAAATAACATTGCACCTGCCTGTCTGTTGAACAAAAGTTTTTAATTAGAGCTCAGTAATACAGTTCTGTTATTTCTGGGTAATCATGTTGACATTATGGATATGCATAGTAGTTGAGTGTTTGATGTCATTAGAGACCATCCTAAGAGTTCTCCACAACTGAAGCGCTGCTTAATAGCGCTGTGCATGATGAAGATGCAGAGGTTTGCTCTTATCAGACATACAGGAACATCTTAACATGACAATTCCAGGAAATGAGTCACTCCACCATCGAAGTGAATGTTGACATGACAGCTAAGTAGAGTTGTTGTTCAAGATGGAATAGCCATTTGTATCATCTGCAGTGCTAAATATTTTCCTAAAGAGTTTAGCTGATTAGAAACATTCTGCATGTTGTAAAAAATTAGGATTAAGTAACATTTTAACCAGTAATTTATCAACATACTTTAGGAGGACATTATTTTTTTCCTTTGGAAATATTTTGACTACTGAATGGTTGACATCAAGGTGGGAATGCACGATTTAGGGAAAAATCTTAATTGTGATTGCATTTTAAAATGTGATTTAAAAAAAATCTGGTTTACTGTGCCTGTCTGTAGGGCTGCACAATTTGTCCAACATTTTGTGGTTGTATAACAATATGGCTATAAAATAATAACTACTGTATCCCTTACTGACTAGTTTTTATTAGCATTAAATTAAATATGGTGTCTATGCTCACTAAGGTCCATAATATGACCAATAATACATTAAGAGTGCCAAGAACTTGATTCTTGAAAAAAGAACTTGAAATGTAGACACATGCACATGTACAGTGGGTACGGAACGTATTCAGACCCCCTTAAATTTTTCACTCTTTGTTATATTGCAGTCATTTGCTAAAATCATTTAAATTAATTTTTTTTCCTCATTAATGTACACCATTGAGGAAATTTTTTTTACTTAAATGATTTTAGCAAATGGCGGCAATATAACAAAGAGTGAAAAATGTAAGGGGGTCTGAATACTTTCTGTACCCACAGTATGTGACGAATAAAAATCTTGAAACTTGGTTTTCTGTAAAGCTGCTTTGAAACAATGTGTATTGTGAAAAGCACTATACAAATAAATTAGAATTGAATTGATTCACACTGCATAGGGAATGAAAGAGTGAAAAACTGAAGCTGGCCACTTTCTGAACTCCGGATAATTTCTCACCTCCCGTTTTGATCAATGGTACACTCTTATTACCTCCCAGCATGCAATGTGCTACATTTCACCTGGTTTAACTTTAACTGAACTCAAGGAAACCTGCTGCAGGGGCGTTGAAGATCTCCTGCAGAGCGTCTCTTCCACCGTTAAGACAGAATGTTGTAATCTATACTAACATATAAAGGTGACAGTTTTGCCTCTTCTTAGAGTACCAGAATATACAGTATTATTACAGTATATAGAATATACATTAAATTAGAGATTTTTTGTGTTACTTTATGAAAAGCAGCACTTCCAGGAAATCAGTGAGTGAATTACTGTATGCTAAAGAGAGTGTTACTTTGCATTTTATTTGTAGTGTTTTGTTTGGCATTGCATGCTAGTTCGACAGTGAATCTATTTACATTCCACTCTTTAACAGAATTCCAGAGAACAAGCAGAGCTCAACCTCACATAGTGCTCACGATGGGGCTGCTTCATCACTGTGGAAAATAGCCCACTTTGCCATTTGAAAACAGTTAAATGTTCAAGCCAGAAATAATATGTTCTCAGTTTCACACATATACAAGCCGGTGAGCATATTTTCCCACTCCAAATTGTTATTCTTGGAGGGAGCGCTTAGGAAAACAGGTGATTTAAGGCAGGCAAACTGCTTTAAATCTATAAAAGGATCGGACTTCCAGACTTATTTGTTGTGCTGGTATTTGACACTATCATATCAGTAAAACCAGAGCTGCATCACACATTGAAATTATCTGAAAGCTTTGGTGAATAATCAAAAAAAAAGAACATCTCCAAAACCTTGACTCAGACAAGGTAATTGATTCCACACCTCAAATAAAAATTAATAGACAGGAAAGAAAAAGAAAAACCTTTTCATTTGCTTCCTTCTGTGATTCTGGTTAAATTGCAGTATAAGCTTTATTCATTAGAGCAACAGATCTAAACCTTTTTTCATTAGCTAAACACTTAAGATCTTGAAGCACACATAATAATTTGAGATTTTCTAACCCTGCAATATATAGCCTATAAGGGACAGTAAATTTAATTGCAGTTCTGACATTTGACATTGGCATTTAGAGAGGAATCATGAGTATCAAAAAAGTATATAAGTGTGATATAGGACCATTATCCAGTGCACTTTATTGTAAAAACTGTAGTTTATCCCTAACGGCATTGTTTTTATCCATGTAAAATTCTAGATGAGGATTACTCTGAGTCTAAGGTCTATCAGCAAACTCCTAACCGCTTTGCTCACAATTCAGCAGCTGAGCACTGCTGTGCACTATATTCCAGGCTCTGTGTATATGAACTCCCACTGTCCGACTGATTGTTTTCCTCCTTTATTGGTGATGTAGCTGGTAGTGAACCAAGCTGATGTACAGTGGGTACGGAAAGTATTCAGACCCCCTTAAACACTGTAGTTCCTCAACTCATTGTAGATGTAGCTGTAGCTCTGGATGGTTTTGTGACTGTCTCTTGATATTCTGTTCTAATCCAATATTTCTCTCTTTCTCCTTTCCCAATCCCACCTCCACAATCCCCCCATCCTCACCTCCCATTTTAACCCATTAATCCGTTCTCCCCCTTTGTTACATGTCTCCCGTCCTAAAACCCTCCCCTTTTACGTGTAATTGCACTCACCTTTTTTCACCTTTCACCTTTTTATTTTTTTGGCATGGGACATTGTGTAATTTGCTTGCAGACCCCATAGACCCTAATGTTGATTTGTACGAACTTTTCCATGCTCCATACACTCCAGTACCAGACCCTTTACCCATGCTGCCTCCAGTGGGCGTTCAGGCATCCGTTCTGAGCCACGACACCATCAAAGTCACCTGGGCGGACAACTCGCTGCCCAAGAACCAGAAGATCACAGATGCACGTTACTACACAGTGTGCTGGAAGACCAACATACCTGCAAACACAAAGTTTAAGGTATGGTTAACAGAATCTAGGCTCCTCACAGCGTCTCCCAACAGAATAAGGTGGAGAATCTTTTCTTGTTATAGCACTGACATTGATTTATTAATTTTAGGTGGCTAATACCACCACACTAACTCACACTGTGACTGGTCTTAAACCTAACACCTTATACGAGTTCTCGGTCATGGTGACCAAGGGCCGGAGGACCAGCACCTGGAGCATGACTGCACATGGAACAACTTTTGAAACAAGTATGTACTTTAGATGGGACAGGTTGCGACCTCATCGTTTCAGTTTAATGACTCATCAAGTAGTGTTGTTGTACATGTAAATGTACTCAATGAACAATACATTTTACATTTACATAAAGTGTGAGGCTATTTCTGCATTTGTAGGCTTCATTTATTTTATCTTTCTCCCCAGTCCCAAGTTCTGCACCTAAAGATGTGACTGTAGTGAGCAAAGAGGGACGACCACGAACCATCATCATCAACTGGCAACCACCTTCAGAAGCCAATGGCAAGATAACAGGTGCCAAAGTTAGATTAAAAATATATCACCAGTTAGAGACAGTGATGATTTAACTTGCCTGTTTTATCATTACAATGTGCCCTTGTATCACTTTTTCTCTGCCTTCCCAGGTTACATCATTTACTACAGCACTGATGTGAATGCAGAGGTTCATGACTGGGTCATTGAGCCAGTAGTGGGGAACAGGCTAACCCATCAGATTCAGGACCTGACCCTTGATACCACCTACTACTTTAAGATCCAGGCGCGTAACTCTAAGGGGATGGGTCCAATGTCTGATGCTGCCCAGTTCCGCACTCCTAAAGGTAAACCAGCTCATTCATGTTGATGAATAATCACAATCACTGTTGCCTGCTGAAAAGACCAACATATTTTGGGTTATGATTTCAAAAATACAATGGGATACTGGTGTAACCACCAGGTTTCTTATCTGGCTTAACCAGCAAGATTTCCTTGATCAACCATAAGAGACCAAATAGACCATAATGAACTAGCCTAAACCAAAGTGGACACGTATGGAATTACATGCTGTTCTTTTCAGCAGGGTTTGGTTGCTAAATTATAATTAGTAGGATTTAATATTGGGAAATGTATTCAGTTACCATATTCACATACGCTGTTTTTAACCTAATCTAAAGCTTAACCCTTTGCGTTTACCCTGAACTCGCCAAACTTTCATACTGGCTCATGCACAAGCCACCCATAGGGTCCTGCTTAGCTCTGACTGCACGCCTCTCCCCCTCTAACCTGTCTCCTCTCCTTCTGCTTGGTCCTGCTAGCTGAATCCTCTGACAAAATGGCTAATGACCAAGGTAATTGCTCTCTCTTCTCTTATTCCACTAATGTCCTCAAATTGAAGTGAGCAGCTCCCTGCACACTAAACTGTATCAGCAGTCACGGAAAAATCCAGCTGGTGTATAGCAGGAAAACATATAATTTTTACTAGTTTATCAGCAAAATGCACGTAGCTAATACTTCATACTACTAACAGTCTTTTCCCAAGCACATTTTGGTCAAATGATGATGTCGTACAGCTTGTGGTTTATCCGTTTAAACTGCATGTTATGGGTGGATGTGTTTTAATGTGAACTTTACACAAAAGCTGTAGATTCCAATGTGCCACCAGCCCATTTTTCTTATCTGATCACTTGTAGCTCCAGGTATATTGGTGAAACCAGGAAGACCCTCTGCACCAGAACAAGGTTTTGGATCAGTTGGTAATTGCTGTTTTTTTTATGTTTATACACTGTAGAAAACCCCTAGCAATGGCTTTTCAATGATGTAGCATAGCAACAACCAAGAAAACGCCTTAGTACTGTACCTAGTACCACCTAGCAATACCATAACAACCACCCAGTAGTCGCTAGCAACCACCTTGCAACTACCTAGCAACATCCCATCAACACCATATTATTACCCGGCGAACACCTAGCACCCTACATATGCCTTAATAACAGCCTAGCAACCCCTTAGTAACACCTAGCATCGCCTTGCAACCAACTAGCAATGCCCTGTGAAGAACATACAACATCCTAGCAAACACCTTGAAACGGCTTGGCAATGCCATAGCTGCCACCCATTAGTTCCTAGTAACCACCCACAGCAAACTAGCAACACCTCAATAACAACCTAGAAACCACTAAGCAACACCCTAGCGACATCTTGCAATCATGACACCTTATCAATAACAAAACATTCTAGCAATGTTTAGAAAACATCTAACTCCAGCTTAGGGAGTTAGGAGTCAGGTGCCCTACCAATCATCTAGCAAAGGCCATAGCAACCACCCAATAACCTAGCAAAAACCATTCATAACATTCTAGCAACCATATAACAACACCGTAGTGGCGTCTTGCAACACCCTATTACTTATGGAGCCAGATCAGCCTGAAAAATTATACATTTACAAAATAAAATTCATAAATGCACAGCACAATTTACATTTAAAAAATCTGATTCGGAAATTCAAAACACAATTCATAAATACACAAGTAAAAGCATAAATAGTTTCCCAAATGCTCACACAAATGCATCTTACCTAAATAAATTTAAAATGTTTACACAAATATGTATATATAAAGTTTGTAACGATCGGCCTTATTGGAAGATGTTACATTTGTTAAAAAGGGGTCAGATTATACTGTGTGAGAGCTTTGAGTGTTTAAAAGATGAGACAGACAACAATGGTAAAAGTGAAAATCAAATATGTATTTACAATATTCACAAGAGACTTAAAACAACACAAAAAAACTAGAATAACTTAGACTGTTAAAAGCACAGAGTCTTTCTGTTCCATACCATTAAAACAGTCCTTAAGAAATCCAGTGTGTTGCTAGTCCCAAAGTGAATGTCCCAAAAGTGTCCACCGGTGTATATACAAAAGTCCACTGTAGTGTTAATCCAAAGTGCTGGAAAGGTAAATCCCCAAAGGTAACTCCACTATTCCAGGTGATCACCACTTGGTCATAATGTGAGCAACGACCATGCTTGTTTGACATGCTGCCTCCTTTATGCTGTCCATTTCCTATTTCCTGTCATGTGATCAGTCACATGATAGGCAGACCCAGACTCATTTAAAGACATACACACATTAAAATGGTTAAGAGGAATAAAATGGCTAAGACAACATGAAAACCTATTAAAACTCAAATATACATAAAATCATTAAAATATATTGAGCAGGTTAAAACATGTCCTGTGTGACAGTGTCACATAGTCCCCCCCTTAGCCTATGGCTCCCGGGAAAGAGACTAGTCCCTTAATGGTACTGTCAGCCATTGTCCATGTAATGGGTATCCTCTAAAATGTGTCTTAAAATGTCTTTGTAATAAGTTAGATAAAACTAGGCCCTCCCACACAGGCACTAGTCTGCCGGTGGAATCTATGGGAACACTAGAGAGAGGTGGTATCCGATACCAGCCTGGGTGTCCTAGGTTCGGTGGCGCCGCTCCTCCCAGGACTATGTTGCACCCAGCCATGCTGGTCCGCCAGCCCCACTGGCGTTTCCTCCTATCCGGCTTACGGGTCTCTTTGGTGGATGATGTTGATGCTGATGAACGGGGATGAGGTGGATGATGAGGTGGTTTATTGGTAGGGTTGATGACAGCACACTCCTTGGCCTCCACACCACACGACTTGCAGTCCCGGACGAACGCCCAGATATCACTGCGGACTGAGGGCCACCAGGCAACTTCCTGGCTCTGCAGAAGGGACTTTAGACGCCCATGGTGGTTCTCTGCTGTCCTCTGGTGGAAGTGCTGTACCGTCTACTGGACCAGGTTCTTTGGGACGACGAGCTGGATCTGGTAGACATCGTCCCCCTTCTGGATCCGCCGGTACAGCAAGCCCTGGTGCTCCCGCACTTCGATCCTGTTGGTCGGTGGAGTGGAGGGAGAGATGGAAAGTCCCTGGAGAGTGCCATCATCACCCTGCGCGCTGCTGAGTTGCTCTCTGGAGAAGGGGAGGATGGAGAAGCTGTGGTCAAAGTCTGGCCCAGTTGGAGTGGTGGCACAGAATTCTCCATCGGTCGCTCTGTTGGTTGTCTGTGAAGTGGTAGATGTGCTGGGATGGTTGGCTGGAGGAAAGTCAGGGGTTGACGTGGGCAGCACTGGGCTGGTCGTCGCAGTGGGAGAAGAGATGGCAGCTTTTGGATCCTTTTTCTGCTCCAGCTGTTTCGCCCATTTCTTGTCTCTCTTAAAACAGTCGATGACCTCTCTCTCTAGTGTCGCCACGGAATCCTTGACAGATTCCTCCACTTTTTCAAATTTAAAATCCACAGCCTCTCTAAAACGCACTTCATGGTTAAGATTACTTTCAACAGTCTTTAAAATCCTTCTCCAAGTTTAAAACAATGTTTTTAAGAGCAACCACCTCAGCGCGAAGCTGTACACACTCACATTAATGTAAAACCCGTTCATCATTAAAACCAGCAGATGTATTAAAAGAAGCAGCATTAACTTGCTTTGTTGTCATCTTAAAACAATCTCCTCAACACAGCGTTAAAATCTTTAAACGTTCCCCGTACGGGCCACCATATGTAACGTTCGGCTCTATGAGTCAAATTTACAATTGTTAAAATGGGGTCAGATTATACTATGTGAGAACTTTGAGTGTTTAAAAAGATGAGACGGACAACAATGTTAAAAGTGAAAATCAAATTTGTATTTACAATATTTACATTGGAACTTAAAACACGCTGGATTTCTTAAGGACTTGTTTTAATGGTATGTAACTGAAAGTCTCTGTGCTTTTAACAGCCTAGGATTTCTAGTTTTATTGTGTTGTTTTAAGTTTCCTGTGAATATTGTAAATACAAAAAAAATTGTCTGCGGTTCTGTTAGATTCTGAGAAGATGTGAGCTAGAACGCTCCTAAGGACACCCTAAGTTCGCGCCAAGCCTCGGGCCTTGACTTTCCATTCACCAAGATCATCTGACTCAAACTGGTTCTTTTCCATCAACCAACTTCAGCAAAGATCAACTTGAGCCTTCAGATTGCACCAGGACTCTCTGTCAGACAGACAAGACGTGCAAGTATCAAACTTAGTCTTATTAATTGATACATTAAGTATCATTTGCACCTTTTTACAAAAGTGCGTTTGAACTAAGAAGCTGATGTTTCCTTCAGGCTGTAGCTCTGCTGAATATCCAATGGTCCCATAGCTTCATGCTTTATTTCTCTTCTCTTTACTGCCTAAGCTTTAATCCTGTTCCTGTACCAACTGTGTGTGTATGTGTATGTTAGACTAGTTTAAGTGTTTATGTAGTTAATAAAGTCTTACTTGTATCACACTTGACGTTGTTCATTGTTTGCTCATAACTGGAGTCCCTAATCATGCAGATTTATGCTACATGCTCTGTGTAGTATTGCACAGTAAGAAAGTTATTTCCCTTAACCAGGAAATTAAAGTTCTTAGACTTGACAGACAGTTGATCCTGAGAGGTCAAGTAAATACTTACAGCGGATCTAAATATTTATAATTAATTATAACTAGTTATGATTAATTATTAATATTTCCCCTTTGAGCTGATTCGCTACAACTGCTTTGAATTTGTTTGCGGTATTTTTGAGACCTTCCTGGCAGGTTAAGATTCATAAACATTTTTTTTGGGGAGAATGTTCCGTTCAGCCAATGAAGATATGGTGAGTTTTTAATCCAAGTCACGGTGAGTTTTTAATCCACCAATCAAAACGCTCCTTACTGAACAGAGTGAAGAAGCTCAACACCATCAGATAAAAAAAAGACTTCTCACTCGTTGAGTCTGGTTTTCATCCTCCATGCTGAAATCTCTCCGCTGTGTGTTCAAAATCTCCCTTAGGTGGTGGTAACTGTTTTTAATGCCTGATCAAGTTACTGCGAATCTGATAGCTTTCTACTACTAATAACAACAACAACAGAACACATTACATAATTGTTGTTATTAAAGGAAATATCAGGGGTGTGTTCCAGAAAGCGGGTTTTGTTGGGAT